GGTTTGGATGTGTAGGTCAAAAATATCAATTTCCAACTTTGGCTTATTTAACTTATGTCCTTATTTTAGGTCATTTTTGCAACTTTGAGCTACAAGCCTTTCCACCATCTCATGACCTCCTTACTAGCCTTAAAACATCATTTTAAGCAAGTTTTATGTTGAAGATTTTTCCATTTGAAGCTTGGAAATAGGAGTTATGGCCTTATGCTTGAAATGACCTGTAATCTCCAAATGACCAAAATGCCCTTGACTTGTCAAAGCCATAACTTGAGTTCTACAAATCCTATCAAGGACTTCTAGTACTCTATAGAAAGCTAAGAGGATAAGGAACAACATTCATGTTTACCAAAAGTCCATAGGAATCATCCTTCTAGGGAAAAAGTTTGATGCAAGTTGAGTAACTTTCAAGGCCCTAGATTCACATACCTCAGATGACCTGTAACTTGTCAAAGTCATAACTTGAGTTCTATAAATCCTATCAAGGACTTATAGTACTCAAATTAAAGCTAAGAACAAGCTCTACAACATTCATGTTGGGGGTAAGATGAGATGACAATCACATCTTGAGCTAAACTGCCTTGAAGATAGGGGTCAAACTAGGGGATTTTACACTGTCAAGCCTTAGAAACCCTAGCTTGAAACTTCTCAAACTCTTCAATCATGATGAGTTGACCTTGGAATCATCCTTATAACATATCAATGTGTCATTCCATGATCACATGGCTCTTGGATTGGGTCTCAACCCTCTCCAAATCATCAGTTGACCTAGGGTTGACTCAGTCAAACCCTAATTACACCACTCATGGCTAGGTCTCTTTAATCTTGCACAATGACCTATCTAGGCTTCATGATGGCTTTCAAGACATCTCATAAGCTCTATCAAGGCTTTAAGTCCACATTCTTGGCTTCAGAATCATCTGAGGAGCTCCCCCACAACTCCCAAGTTAGGAGGCACACCTTCTTGGTCTCAACCACCCTCTCTGAGGATCATCTGACCTCTCTGACAAAGATATCAACCTTTGAACACTTGAATAACCTTCTTGGCTAGCTTCAAACTCTTGTGTATCCTTGCTTGATAATCATACATCTTGATCTCCTGCATATATGTCAATGAAATGCAAATGATAATGCTAATGTGAATGAAATGAAACATAAGCTAGGTAAAGAAATGTTGGGCAAATTTTGGGGTGCAACAGATACCTTTTTTTTTATCTTAGTACATTCTTGAGGATTACTTGCACAAATGTGACAATCGGCTGGACAACCAACATTCTGCTCAGGTGGTTCTTCATTACGATTGGTTGGGACTTTAGTTTATTGGTATTCTTCAAACACAATTGTAATTGTATTTGACTCTTGTCAAATTGACCCATGACTCAAATCCCACCCTTTTCTTTCATCCACTAGAACATCTCGAATGATCACTAGTTTATCATCATTTAGTGAATACAACTTGTATGCAGCAGTCGAATGATAACCTATGAGCACTATAGCCTGATTTCGATCATCTAGTTTCTTCCTCAATTGTTCAGGTACATGCCAGAAGCATATTGATCCAAACACTCTAAGATGACTAACATTCAGCTTCACACCTGTCCAAGCCTCATAAGGAGTCCTCCTAACAATTTTCTTGGTTATACATCTATTTAGAATGTATATTATTGTCGAAGCTACATAACCCCAAAATCTATTTGACATATCTTTAGCTTTCAACATGCTCCTAGTCATGTTCAATATACTTTGATTCTTCCTCTCGGCTATGCCATTAGGATGAGGAGTATAGGATGCAATGACCTCATTCTATGTACCTTCATCATTCCAAAATCTAGCAAATTCTCGAGAAGTTTATTCACCACCACCACCACCAGTTCTTAGTTTCTTCAACTTGCATCCACTTTGCTTTTTGACATGCAATTTGAACTTCTTGATTTGTGTGAATACCTCATTCTTCCTTTCAATAAGGTAAATCTATATATATTTAGTGAATTCATCTATGAAGGTTAGTAAATAGTAGTTACCACTATTTGACCTTACTTCAAATGGTCCACACACATTAGAGTGAATGAGCTCTAGCTTTTTCTTCAACCTCATGGACAAGTCATGTTTGAATTCTTTCCTAGCCTACTTTGCATTGCAACATTCCTCACATACATTACTTAGTTCCTTCACATGAGGTAAGGTCGTACACCATTTTATTTTGGTTGAGCATACCTAAGCTTCTGAAGTTTAGATTCCCATTCTTGTGACGCCACAACCAATTCATGTATTCTTCTGCAGTCAAGAAAAGACACTTGTGATCAACTGGGTTGACCTCTACTTTGAAGGTCTTGTTGTCTACCAATGATGCCTTCATAATTAACCTTCCATCACCATGATACACCTTCATCTAATTCTTTTCTAGCTTCATCATGTACCCTTTTGCAAGTAATTGGCCTACACTTATCAAATTACTTGTAAACGAAGGTACATACAATACATCAGTGATACTGGATTTTCGACCATCTTTTCTGACAATAAAGATATCTTCTTTTCCACTAGATGTGATGTGTCTGCCATATGAAAACTTTACCACTTTCTCAACTGATTCATCTAGCCTGGTCAACCATTTTTTATTACCAGTCATGTGGTTATTGGATCCTAAATCGAGGTACCACATGTTGGTTTGCCCAGTGTTCGACTGAGTGTTGGCCATGAGTAACATATCATCAGAATCATTATCTTTAGCATGTGCATACTACAGTTCATCATGATCTTTTGCTTGTGCTTCCTTCTTTCTTCTATAATCTCGAGCATAGTAGTCAAATCCTTGATAGTTGTAACATTGCACCTTCTTCATGTCAACTTTATTTCTAGAATACTTTTTGCCCATTCCTTTCTTAATCGAATTATATTGATTCTTTGAGTTCTTGCTTGAATTCTTATCATTGGCAAGATTGTTTCCTTGTTTCACCTTATCTTTCCTATATTTGTTTATGAATCTTGCTTGTAATTCATGTTCCACCACCTTCTCCCTTTTTGAATTCATCTGCTTCAACCTTATCTCATGAGCCTTTAGTGAAACTTGAAGTTCTTCCAACTTCATCTCATCTAGGTTCTTGGAGTCTTCAATTAACACTACAATATAATCAAAATTTATAGTCAGAGATCTCAACACTTTCTCAATCTTCTATAAATCGTTGATTGATTCACCACATGCCTTTATCTAGTTTGTTAACAACACCACACATGAAAGGTATTTCGAGACTGATTCATCTTCCATCATGAGTCATCTCGAATTGCTTTCTCAAGGTTTGCAACTTTACCCTTTTTCGTTTTTCATCTTCGTCGTACAAGTTCTTTAAATTGTCCCACGGTCATGTGACTGTTTCTTCTTCAATCATCTTCTCGAACACGTTAGGATCCACACACTTGTGAACCAAGAGCAAACCTTTTCCTTCTTTCTTTCTTCTTTCCTTATGCGTAGAATGCTGAACATCGTTTACATTCTCTTTCAATGCAGCCACTCCATCGTTCATGATTTCAGCCATATCTTGAAATCTGAAGATGATCTTCATCTGCACAATCCACCATTCATAGTTCTCCCATTTGAAAACCAGTAGATTTGGTGGAAATTGTGTTGATGTTGTGTTTTTGTTTGCCATTACAGATTCTCTTTGAATCGCAACCCAGGCTCCTTGATACTAGTTTGCTGGGACAAAGGATTTTCAAAAAAGGATGAAAAGAAGAAGAAGAAGAAGAAGAAGAAGAAGAAGAAGAAGAAGAAGAAAAAAAAGAAGAAGAAGAAGAGAGAAAACAAAGAAAAACTATAAACTGAATTATGAAAATTAAGATTTGTATTAAGTGAAATTGTTGTTGTTTACATCATATAATGCCCTTTATATAGGTAACTAAAGCGTAGACCTAAAACTATACAAATCTACGCATGCCCAACACATACACAATACAAAGTACAAAATGACAATTTATATTTCGATATACCAACTATATGTTGTAATCGACACAGTCGAATACGACTGACTTCTACATCTTGACTAATTATTTCGACATAATCAAATGTTAACTTTCAAAAGAACATTGAATTTCAACTTATAACACCCATCATGTGAAGGGGATGTTAGAAATGCCTTTCACCCGTGTTGGAAAAAACTAACACGTCGAATGAAAGAAGAATTGGCATATTCACTACATCAGATGTGAATACTGTCACTTATGAACTCTCAATGGAGGTAACCAAATGCGTACGTAGTGGTTCGAACAACTTTGATGTTAAACATTTTTTAGTACTTATAGTCTTATTAGAAGATTTAGGTCAATGGTTTCTTCCACTGGTTAAAAACATGTAAATTTATAATGACGGTCCAAAACACAATTTAAAATATATGTAAGTTACACTAATCTTGTTTACAAAAAGGTAAGTAAATTCAACCCAAAAATATTCAGATGAGATGGTAAAGGATCTCTTACAGTTTAATTAGTGGTTTTAGTTTTGAATCTGCTTTAAGCACGCAACAGTGTAAAATTCTCTTGAGAGAAAATTTTGCCACCCATTGATGAGATCTATGCAGTTGTGTGCACAGATTACCCGATTTCTAAAAAATATAACAAATCCAAAATCACTAATAAATGTTCAATCAGTGTGCTTATGGAAATCCAAACAAGATAGACTTATTACATGGGGATAAGGTAATTTTGAAAATATATCTCAAGTAAATTTGGATTTTAAAACCTACACAACTTTTGCCATTTTACTATAACTTTGTTCAGTGTTCCTCGCAATCAAACAAGGGGCCAAGTACTAATTCTTTACTTCCTTAAGTAATTTGAAATACACGCATTCTTCTTTATGTGAAAACTCAACATAAGTAAGTATTGCAAATTGCGAATGAATGAATTTTTATTAAATACATATAACAAAGAGAAACAGATTCTATTTAATTTCTTTTGGATCATTATCTTGTTTTGAATGGAAATAAGGTAATACTATATAGTTATGTACATTTTTACAATTGGCGACGTTGAGGGGTCTTAGGTGATCGAGGGTTTTGTGTATCTAATCGCCTGAGTCTTGCGCGTGCTCTGTCGATTCTATCCTTCACGCTCACATTTGCGCGCGCTTCATCTTGACCTTCGTCTATTGAGACGGATTCAGATTCCCATGCTTCATCTCCTTCTTCATCTACATATTCAGTATGACCATCAACGTTGACATGCATCGTTTGCGTCTTCACTGTATCCGAGATGTGACGATTGATTGTACTTGGTGATGATGGTGGACTAGTTGGCCATTTCTTGCTTTTGCTTAGTGAACTTTGCTTCATAAAGTACGATGATTGCATTGTTGATGTTTGTTCAACACTTTGACCATGCTCATCACTTTTCTGCAATTAATCAATTAGCGTAAATATGTATTTAGTTCTTAAATAAAGAGTTTTAAAAATATTTACACAATCGTCCAATAAAATATCATCAATATGCCAAATCATTCATATAATCCATAGTTGCTTAACTTATTTACCAAGAAAATAAGATTACTATCACACTAATTAGCATTAATTTGTTACAATAAAATGTCTAATGTAAGTGACAAATAAAAAAAATTAATGAAAGGTGTTTCTATTAAAAGGGAGTGTTTACCGGAACAGTGGACCTGGAAGTAAGTTTAGAAGATTGAGAAGCCAATTGTTGAAGAAGCTGAAGAAATGCAGTATGTCCAAATTGTGCACAATATTGCCAATAAAATATTACATAATCCCATCCTCTAGCTTTCCATTCTTGTATTGTTCTATCAATGTCATTTTCATGTTTTGACACATATGGCCTCAACACTGTCTCATATATATAACTTGTTCCCTGCACATTTATAACAAACAGTAATCAAACAATCAACTATAGATCAGAGTCGTCTTTAAGAGCATACAAGACAAGACAAGGTAGACGATGACATAAACTCAAAATTTAACATATTTAAACGGTATCTAAAATAGATCTCATTAATTATTTGTCAAGATTAAAATCGTTCGAAAACTTAATAGTCCCAAGCGCTTACAATACCAAAACATAATACATTCAATAATTCAACCCTAAACCAAAGGACAATATATTGAAGAATAGGTCTTACCTTAGTTTTAGGATACCACATGTAAACAAAGAACACCAACTTCACCTCTCCATACATAGGCAACCTTCATAGAAGTTTAGATTGAATTCACAAGATGAACTTAAATTATTAAAAACACAACAATAATTATTATTAAAAATCCAATACTTACCATGCAATAAATATATCCAAAAACTTTTCCAATACCGTGAAGAGTGCCACAATAATCCTACAAATAAATCACACAATTACATCATAACATAACATGATCTAGACCGCAATATAACGATGTGCCCGCACCGGATCGAGACGTGACATCAATACTTGATCACAATTTTTAACAATATCTTAAAAGAATTTAATTGAAAAAAAATTACTACATACCAATATTTGCACCAAAATCGAAGTTCTTCGATATCAACCCTATTTTTCTCAACCGTTTTATAGCATTCAAATCCAGGATAAGCATACCCAAGAAGGAGACTACAATTCAAAAATGGAGATTAAGAATATATAACACAACAATAACTCAAAAAATTAATCTGAAAATATTGATTCAATTATTTGAAAATTAATTAAACATACATCAGAATACGATTAATGAAATCCCCCAACATTTTCAACCGCTATAATATACACAACCGCAAACCGTTCAAACCTGAAAACAAAACCAAACACTGAATTAACCCATCTGATTCTCAATAAAAAATGTCAAAAAAACAGCAATTTTTCTTGTTCGATTTTATCATAACAAAATTGTCGTTTTCTACGAAAAAGTTGCATGCATCACATCATAATATTACCTGTCGTTATAGAATAAGATTCCAATCTCAGAATTAAAATTAGGCACCCAAATTACAAACCTATGTGGTGTTGTTAATTTAGGGTGCCCCAAACAAAAACTTAAGATGAAAAGTTACAGAATCAAGTTTTTTATTATTCTTTAGAAAGAAACGAGGTCTATTCTTGTGAAAGAAATGGCCTCTGATTCTCTCTTTCTCTTGAAACAAACCTTTTATCAGAGGCAACAAAAATGCTCAATGACATATAAATAGTAGAATAACTTTTTTAAATATAGTTATAGAAAAGAAAATTAGAAAATAGAAAATATTAATGAAAGGGTGTGTTTGATTCTCTTTAAATAGTGTTGGTTTTATTTGGAAAAACGGGTTCATGATTTGGTGGTAGTTGGACAGGAACATGTGTGAGGGTAATTTGGTCATTTAGAGTTTTTGTTTTTGTTGGAACTTTAGGACGTGGATTTGTGTTTGGTTGTTAATATGATTAATATGAATATATGAATATATGAATATGTTTAAATTTAACTTAAAGTTTGTTAATAGGGGAAGATTTTAGTGGAAGAGCACGTTGTGATTGTGGTAGATTGGGTGGTTAATGCTTAATTATAGATATTGATCTAAATATAATATATGTTCTAGAGGTCAACTACCTCCAAAAGTTACATTAATAGAAAACTATTGTTATGTCAAAATACTTAGAAATTACAGATATATTTGATGTGTTGGCTGGAAGTTAAGACAAATAAAATCCAAGAGTTAATTAAACTAAACATTCAAATTAAAATTTTAAAACTCAAATTTTGAGTCAAAGATAGTTTTATTTTTTAAAATCAGTTTAATTATAAATATAAAAATATAACATATTACTAATAGATATTAGTCCAACTAGTTAAATTAATAAAAAAAATTAAGTTATGAACAGAGATACCATAGATACAATTTCCAACTCATTATATCCTTTTCTGCTGCAAATATGATGATTCAAGTCCTCTATTTCAGTTTTGGTTTGCATTCTGTAGAAGTTTTTAATTGGCTGCATTTTGTGGTAAAATATTGTTGTGTGCGTAGGTGTCTTGACTAATGTCATGACATACTCGTGTAGTGTATTGCAGGGTAAGTTTAGTTAGCTAGTACAAAGTTTAATGGATGTCAAGCTGAATGTTGTAACATCAGGGATCTGCCAGTTAGGTCGCTGTTTGTTTTTCTGTTATGATTCCTGAATTATCTTAGGCTATATTTTAGGAAACTTGGTATGCAAGGAAACACATATGACCTATTTGTTAGCAGATTGAATAGTGAAGATTGGCTTTAACTTGGTTAAACCTAATTTGTGCAACTTAGGTCCAAGGCCCATGTGCTGCATATAAATAAGAGTGGCATCTCTTATTGAAGGGTAGAGATTTTGTGGTGAAGAATTATGTTAGTGTGTTTACATCTTCACGCATGTTTTGGTCTTAGATTTTCTTGTGAGCCAAGCAATCATCCCTTAGATGATTGTATTGGACTAGTGTGATTTAGAGTTGTATGTTGGTTGTGTCACTCTAAGCTTTTAAGCACGAGTGTTGTGTCTCTTGATTGAAGCTATTAAGCAAGATCAAGATTTATTTGAAGTGTGTCTTCTTTTTAAATCTGTTAACTATTTGGCTGAGATCACTGTTGTGATTGAGGGGGAGTGAGTAGGAACTCAGGTCTAGAGTTAGATTTAAATTACATTGGGTAGGTCTTAAGTGAAGAGTGCAAATCGATAGTTTGGCTCTAAATTAACACTGCTTATAGTGGATTTCCTCCCTGGCTTGGTAGCCGCCAGAGTAGGTGTGTTTTGCACTGAACTGGGTAAACAATTCCCTGTGTTATTTACTGCTTTCATTACTTGTTTACGGCTAAAATTAATAGTCTGTTCAGAAGCGGATGTCATAACATCCAATATAACATCGACTGTCTGTTATTAGAATTTCAATTGGCATCATGGCAGCCACCCTGCCTATTATTTTCTGGGTGAGATCTAGGGAAGATATATTATGGTATTATGGACAAGGATGTAGGATTTACAAATAGACCACCCATTCTAGATGGATCTAACTATGACTACTGGAAACCTCGTATGATAGCCTTCTTGAAATCTCTGGATAGCAAGGCCTGAAGAGCAGCTAACTCAGGATGGGAACATCTGGTGAAGACAAAGAAAGATGGATCAACTGTGTTAATACCTGAAGAAGAGTGGAGCAAAGAGCAAGAAGCTTTGACTCTTGGGAATTCTAAGGCCCTGAATGCTCTATTGAATGGGATAGATAAGAATATCTTCAGACTTGTGCATCATTGTGAACTGGCCAAAGAGGTTTGGGATACTGTCAAAACAACTCATGAAGGTACCTCTAAGGTTAAGATGTCTAGACTACAAATGCTAACTACTAAGTTTGAGAATCTAAGAATGAAAGAGGATGAGACCATTCATGAATTCTACATGAATATTCTTGAGATTGCCAATACCTCAGGAGCTTTAGGAGAAAAAATGTCTGAAGAAAAACTTGTAAGGAAGATTCTCAGATCATTGCCCAAGAGATTTTCCATGAAGGTTACTACTATAGAAGAGGCTCAAGATATCAGCAACATGAAGGTTAGTGAACTCATTGGTTCTCTCCAAACCTTTGAGATGGGAATGTGTGAAAATACTGAAAAGAAGAACAAAAGCATAGCTTTTATATCAAATACTGAAGATGACTCAGATGAAGGCAATGGTGGAAGTGAGGAAAATCTATCAGAAGCTATAGCCATGCTTGGAAGACAATTCAACAGACTTATAAAAAGAATAGATCAGAAGACCAGACCTAATGTCAGTAACATCTCCTCTGACATCAGCAGAAGAGGTAAATCTGAAGAAAAGTCCAACCGAGGCAAAGGTATTCAGTGCCATGAATGTGAAGGCTATGGTCACATTAGAGCTGAATGTCCCACTTACCTCAAGAAGCAAAAGAAAGGTCTAATTGCCACCTGGTCTGATGGAGATTCTGAGAGTGGATTAGAAGAGGAATCTGCAAAACATGTCACTGCACTAATAAGTGTGTGTATCTGATGATGATTCTAGTGAAGATGAGTTGACTTTTGATGAACTTGCAACATCATACAAAAAGATGTGTATCAGAAGTGCAGAAGTGTGCCAACAAGGGGAGAAGCAAAAGAAACTCATAAAGGAGTTGGAGGCTGAGAAGAAAGAGCATCTTGCAACCATAGACTCACTCAACAGTGAGGTCAGTTTGTTGAATTCCAAACTTGATCAGATGTCAAAATCTATCAGGATGTTAAAAAATGGGACTGACACTTTAGAAGAAATTCTATAGGTTGGTTAGAAAGCAAGTGACAAGTCTAGAATAGATTTTGTTGGTGAAAAGGGACCCATCTTGGAGATCAAGAGTTATAAACCTGATAATCATAGGGCAAACTGGATGTCAAGACCATTGTCACAACATCATGGGAAGAGAAACATGAACCAAACAAAGAGAAAGTTCCAAAGGTGGAGGTGTCACTATTGTGGAAGATTTGGTCACATAAATCCTTTTTGCTTCAGAATGCATGGATTCCCTAACACTACTCATCAGGTCAAACCCAAACAGGATGCTCCTTGTAACACCCTTTTTCTACCCCAAAATTATCGTGGCAAAATAACACAAAAATAAGAGTGAATAAATAAATCTCATTAAAAAGCCACCAAAAGGGTGTACATTTCTCAAAGTCATCAAAATAGGTCCATACTCCGTAACTACGGGTTTTCCCCAAAATACATCAAAACATCATAAAACAGTGGAACTCAAAGCATAAAGTCAAGGTTTCCTCAAAAGGGAAAAATAAGTAAAATAACCCACTAATATATAGTTTCACTCAAAGAACCCAACCCGATGTTACATATCAGAGCAAGATCCTCTAAGCTAACCAAAAGGCTAAAACACTCAAAAACTTCAAAAATACTCCTCGACGGCGTCCACGGCTAAACTGGGTCATCTACATGTTACCCACGTGGAGGTAACATTCAAACAAGCAGGGTGAGTAAAACAATTCATAATGATCAATGTATAACAATTAATGCATAAACGACATCATAATTATATTCAACACATTCATATCCTTCAATAGGCCTCAAAGGCCACAACATCATAATTTATACAAAAAGGTTCATAAATGCAATGCGACAAGACTCAATGCATGTGGTACTAATCATCACAGCGCGATGGACACTGGGCCATCAACCCTCCATAGATCCCCATCAATAGGATCGATTCTATTTGAGAACCAGAGCACATCAAAATACTTCACATCCGCACAGTGGGATTGAAGCCAAAGTAATCGAGGTCCTGAACCGAAGTCCGGATGCACATGAATGCATGATGCACACGTCACAAATCATCCTCATAATAACATCATAGGTGCACCATCATTCATCATATTCATCATCATCAAACGTCATAGCTCATCATCATAATCATCATCATACGTCATGTCATCACAGCACATCATAATACTCATCATCACACATCATTTCGTCATATAATTCATCATAATAGTTAATGTTACACATCATGTCATCATATAATTCATCATAATAATCATCACCACACATCATGGAAATCGTCATATAATCACGTAAAAATCACATATTAGCTCATAGTCATCCTCATATTAGCCCATCATATTATCACATATTAATTCATAATACTACCCCATATTATCTCATATTAATTCATAATATTATCCCATATTATCTCATACTAATTCATAATATTATCCCATATTATCACATATTAATTCATCAAATTATACTTGTGATA